CCCGTATCTCCGAAACCGCTTTTCAACTCAAGCTGAAATTTTTACCTGAGACTTGGGGCATCATATGCAACAATTTGGCGCAAGTCCCGTTGGCAAAATCGAGGGCCTAAAAAGGGGCGAATTTCGACCCATTTTTAACAAGGCTCTTTCCAGCCGTGTGGTTAACTGACAACACCTTCAATTTCGCCCGATACCTAACCGTCACACCGACGTCAAAATATTTGTATCCGAAGTCGAAATGCTAACTAGACGTTGGATCAGTTGAAAATAGCCTCTGATTCCCTGGACTCTTCCCGCTGGATCGTCACGCTAAGGAGCTGTGTAACTAATCACCCTCTCAATTTTAGTGTTGACCAAAACGACCCTTCATCATTGCCTGATATTTCACTACCCCTCTCCCGGGGTAGAAGCTGAAAAAGAAATACATCACTTGTTCGATTTTATGCAATATTTTTCAACTTAACACGCGTCTTTCAGAAAATCTTACAAATTTCACTCAACTCCTCCATCCGCCTAGACTGTGCTCTACATCACTTTGATAGTTTCTTGCTTTTTAAAGAACGTCGTCAACCATTCTTGATAAACATATCATAATAAATCCCACAATGAGACGCTTGAGGTACTTTTAAATTATTCCAAAAGTATGTCTCGAATGCTCACAATATATGAATCAAAAAACAGAATCATTTTTTACAGTTACGCGCGGAATGTATTTTCGAAGCTATTTCGAAGTTAGGTTTTTGTGACGAATACCTAAATTGCGAGATTGCAGCACCATGTGACTTTTAGGAATTTTTTAAACAAATCTTGGTGTTCTACTTCCCATTTTAACAAAAAGTGCATGTTTCTTTTTCTCACTATGTACTCCTAAGTCATTTTTTTTTTTTTTTCGAAAATCAGACTTACCACGTTTTTGTTGAACTCGGTCAAAATTCGTCGTTCTCACGAAAGAACGTATTTCCATTCCAATGTTGCCAAATTTCCATCCGCGAATTGCATTTTTACCCGGAGAATTTCAGGAACTTCCAATTGAGAATTCCACTGATTTTTCCTCCGATCCCATGCAAGAATCTGAACAAATTCTGACGGAAATCGTGCAAGTATATTTGCGCTAAAAATCGGATTTTCCGAGTCAATTTTGCAACCTTGAAATGGAGTTACGTCCCTTCGTCCGAGGAAGGGCGAATGGAGCCGAGGAGCGGCAACAGCGATGGCATCTGTTTCAGCGGGATTCACCCCAGCCGTCGGCAGCTTTACTTGACGTCGTTTTTTAACTTTATCTGACAGATTACCGTTGTTTATCTTGTTTTTTTTTGTTTACACTTTTCGTACCTTTTTTACATGCTCTGCCTCCCGACGCGGCGGGCGGTGGGCGCCAGGCACCAGGTGTCGGGGCCCGGGGCCTCGTTTACACTCGATTTACGCGAGACTCACCGCGGGCGGGCGGCGGGTGTCTGTCCGGGTCCAGATTCGCCGATCCCACCACCGCACGTCGCCCCGGTCCAGAGTAGTGACATCCAATTTGCAACGCCTGGATCCCCGAAAAAAGGGCGTAGCGTCTGATCAAACAGGGCTTCACGTTTGGAGGCGAAAACAACACCACCTCCTTTTAACTAGATGCACTGGAAAAAAACACATTCACTGGTAAAAAAAAAACCTCTTGGTTCAAGAGTGCAGTTTCTTGTCGCCGGATTCAAGAGTCTGGACTCTTGTTTCAATGTAAAATCCGCTTGAATCAATGCAAAATCCGCTTGAAACAAGAGTTTAAGACTTTTAAATCCGGCGACAAGAAACTGCACTCTTAAATCAATGCACCGCGACATTGGTCCAAGAGGTTTTTTCTACCAGTGTTGGATCTAGAGTCCAGACTCTTAAAAACTTTGACAAGGAAAAATACTCTTGAGTCAATCAGATTTAATCTTAAATCTGATTGAATCAAGAGTCCTTTTTCTTGTCAATGTTTTCAAGAGTCTGGACTCTAGATCCAATGAGTTTGTTTTTCCAGTGAATTAGGAAGCAATGCGCATACTTATAACAGAAGGAGCCATTTAAAAATCCAAGGGATCCAAAGGATCTACACTAGAAACAATTATGGCAAATTTTACGAGAAGTATGGCAAATTCTATCATCAGTCCACTTGACTATTGACACATAGTGGTACTGTGAGGTAAGGATCAGTGGCGTGGCGTGCTTTGCGATATATCGATTGATCTGCCTTTTAAATCTGTGGAAAAGGATCGATAAATGTGGTGTTTGGTCCAGAGTAGTGACATCCAATTTGCAACGCCCGGATACCCGAAGAAAGGGACTTATAATAATAGATTCTTTACCACAGCCTCAAATGGGGAAATATCGATAATCGACCATTCACGCCTCGCCACTAGTAAGTATAACCAGACATCTGGCAGAATTTACCATACTTCAAGTAAATGCTGTGAAGGTCACAGCATTTTCCATCGTAGAGCATTTTGGAGATTGCCATACTTATATCACGGTACTTCAAACCATAATTTGCTTTTTTTCAGTGCATATGTGCAGTTAGTTTGCCTCTTAATCACGGTTCCGTTTGATTTATTGATTTTGACAACATTTTGCCATATGAAACTGCTCTTTTGGCTCATCCGTGAAAAACACCTCAATGAATTGGATTGCATTTTGCAAAAAGGAACCACTAGCATTGCAATGCTACTAAGATTGTGCAACTTCTTTTGTCTTTGAAAAAAAACCTGATTATCCATTGACAATTTCTATTTTACACGCTGAAAACTGTGAATCTAAGACAAAAATTACCATGATTCATGAAATTTTCATGATTTCAGTCATTTTATTGCAAAAGATGAAGTTGCACAACCTCAGCATCATTGCAATGCTAGTGGTTCCTTTTTGCAAAATGCAATCCAATTATTGTGCATTATTGTGTTAATGTGTTATGAATGCAGTATTGATATACTTTTCTGTGATATTTTTATTGTGATTTTAATCATGTTCGGTATTTTTCTTTCTCTCAGGCGGGCTCGGAGAACACGCAGTCGTCGCCCTCCCTGTGGAACCTGCGAGAGATCTCGCTGATCCACCAGAGGGTGTTGGTGATCGCGGAGATCGCGTGGGACGCCCGAAAAGGCGCCCCATCGACGACGCCCACCCCCGGTTCCGGCCCCGGCCCTGTCGTCTACTTGGTCACCTGGGAGATCGACGGCGGAGGCCTTAAGGGAAACCTCTTCACCAACTCCACCTGTGTTACCCTATCTCTCTGGCCGGACACCGTCTGTCACATCAAGGTAAGCATTACAAATCTTCCCTCGATTACAGGGTCATCCATAAGTATCGCACCATCCCTTCGGCTCTTCCTCTTTGTCATGATGGTCCCTGAAAAAGTTCGGGGATCCCGGCAGTCATACTCTTCGACCCAGAAGCACGCATCAAATTCTTTGTCTCTACCTCAGTTTGTTCAAAATTTACAGGGATGATGCCAGGTGCTGGTTGTTGGGTACTTTTCGATCATATTTGTCAGATGGTGCTGAAAAGTCCGAACTTCACATTTTATCGTGCGATCTGGCAATTTTGTTTTGGATCATCCCACTATACAGGGTGTTCTATCCCGCGCTGGGCATCATCCCTATAACTTCTAAACAAATTGAAATAAAACTTTGAAAAGTCAGGACAAATGAATTTTAAGAACCTTAAACATTTTAGAAGACCACCCTGAAAAAAGTCAGGACCTATCATCAGACCAATCTGAACGTTGACCTCCCACCATAACTTTTACATTTTAGGCAGGAAAGCATTCTGAATATATTCCCTCAGAAAAATATATTCTGGGGAATGTTTTCATGCTTTAAAATTCGGCTATTACTCCCCTTGAAATTTATTTTTCGTTTTGCTCGACTCCTCTGTGCATGGCGAGCATATGAGCCCGCGCGGCGCGGCGGCTGAAATAACAACGAGCATCCCTGTCCCCGTGCGGGGATGAGTTAAGGCGGAGCCGAAGCCGGGGACCAAAGATAAAAACATGGCGCCCATATTTCGTGGACCGCGCTTCGACACAATCGTCCCTTGTTTTATCCCTTTTTATAATTCCCCGCGAATTATGCGAATGCACCGAGCGCCGAGACGCCAAGAATTATTCTAGTCCCTGTTGTCGGCTTTTCACCGTTAAATCCTTCTCTCATCTTCTAAATTGCACTGAGAAAAAAAACTATGGTTATAATTACCATACTAATGGTGTTCAATATGCACTCCTAATTAGTACTGGCCATAACCAATAATAGTGATATTTTTACTAGAGTAATCGTAATTTTACAAGTGTGCGGTAGTAAAATTAATATTTAATGGTAAAAATATCTCTATTATTGGTTATGGCAACTACTAATTAAAAGTTCATATTGAACATCACTAGTATGGTAATTTTAGCCATACATTTTTCTCTTATTTGTCTCTCTTATTTTTTAAAAATAAGTTTTTAGGTTTCCACACGGCTAGTTAGTGCTACGATCCAGGATGCAAATAATTTAACACCCTTGTGAGCGGTGAAGCATCACGGAAAATTGAAGGCTTTCCAAGGTAATTACACACACGGTCAACAAAGCGTTTCACCATACGAGTATTTTAACGCCCGTGAGATATGAGTCGGCAACGGCGGGAGCGCGAAAGTAATTTCCCGGCTGCAAAACGAAGAACAAAACCCGAAATAAAAATGATAATGAAAGGGATGAAATAAGGGACGGGCGAACGCGAATGCACTGGTGTTGCTTTTGATTAAGTGGTAATTTGTTTCGCGGGGGGGAAAAAACAACACTCCGATAATGCCGCGAGCTCCGAGCTTTCTGTTTTGATAAAATGTTGTCGGAGTTGGTTGTTGGATGTTGGTCGTTTTTAATCGCGTTTTTTTCCCCACCAACGGTCCCCCTCCCCTCCGCCCCGTTTGCGGTTTGTGTCTCTGTTCCACCGCTGATTTCTGGTTTGTGTCCGTTCGTCGCTCGGAATGTAGGTCTGGAAAGTTTTACTCCCGGCGAATATGAAATTCGTCCCCGATGCGGGAGTTAGTTCCGGGAATCGCGTCAACTTTTCGGTGACGGATGCGTCGGTGAACTTTGATGGCTCGCTCTCCAGCTTGAATAACATTCGATAACAACAACAACATCGTTGGGAATGACGAGCTGATCTCCATCCAAAGCGTCCATCCGGCGAGGCGAGGCACACTTGCGAGCTCCCATGAAGTCTGCAACGCAAAAAGTCGAATTTTTCCATCCTGTCGCTCGGACGGTTTTTTATGGTTTCCCGAGTTCTACGTTTAAAAGCCCTGAAAACTCACGGAAAAGTCAAGGATATCTGGTTTTCGAAAATGTGTCAACTTCCGCACCAAAAACTTCAGTGTGCCATTTGATTACTCTGCGTGCTCAGGTGACGGAAATTGAACCGTGACACTCATTGATCCCGTTATAAATTCGTTTTCAGTGGCGTGGCGCACATTGCGATGTATCGATTGATCTGTCATTTAAACCTAAGGAAAAGGATCAATCAGAATGTTTACAACGAACACCCAAATAATCGATCTTTTACCATAGGTACAAGTGGGGAAATATCGATAATCGAGCATTCACGCCTCGCTACTGTTTTCAATTTCTTCGACAATAGTTAGGCTGATTTCAGTTAAATCTGTCTAATTAGACCTCATTTTGCAATTAGGAACTACTATATCTGGCTCATCCGTAAAAGCACTGATGTGCATAGGAAAACTAATGTTACATACGGAGTTTCTGAACCGGGCCAGGAATTGCGGTTCCTAATTAACAGTTTGTGTAATTACAAATGGTGCCCAGTTTGTAATCTGATCGCTGTTTATCGCGTTTTGCAACTAACACCCTAGTAATCGATATTTTACCATTCAAGTGGGGAAATATCGATAATCAATCATTTACCACTATACTGAGTTTTTGAGTTTGTTAACACCGTAGTCGTCGATCCGGAGATCTGTAAGCGCAGCATGAATAGATAGAAGGCGGAAGATATAAGGCGGTGCTGGAGTATGACTCGTCTGAAAGTGCGATCAATCGGGGTGAGTTAGAGCCGCAGCCCGTGGCCAACAAAAAGAGGAACGGTTGCAAACACTCGAGTACAAAGTCGCGACTACCGCGTCGTCGGTGCAAGGGTAAGATTGAAAAGTTCGCGACGGTAACAGATAGTTCTGGCGGTGGCCCAAAAATTTTCCCGCTCGCTTTCAATATTTTCCGCTATTAGTTCGCCCGTAATCAGAGTTCCAGCCCTCGTTGCCACATCAGTCTTTAGAATCACGCTTTTCCGCAAAAATTCGTCGCTTTCCTCAGGAAAGAACGTAACTTCATTTCAAAGTTGCCGAATTTCCCCTCGCATATTGTATTTTTACCAGGAGAATCTTGGGCCTTTGTTACCAATTAGGGTAACAATCAAATTTACTAAGTAATATGATGAAATAAATATTAACCTTTTTATGAGTATTATGATCGGATATACATAGTAGGACATACAGGATAACAGGAAGGATTAAATTCTCTCATATATAACAAGTTACTATGGTTACATCAATTGTCACCACTGACTTAAAATGTTACTGATTTTTCTTCTGATCTCGTGCATGATCACACACATTTTCCACAAATATTGAACGGGTACAATCTTGAAAAAAATTAAATTATTTTTAATGTTAAATTAACAGTAATTTTTCATGCGCAAATTTTGAAGCAGAGAGCTTGGTTTCTGATGAAACTTCAAAATCATGAGTTGAAAAACGCTGACTCCACGAGATTAAATATTAGAGCCTAACACAAAGCGGAGCGGCGACGCACTGGCGCCTACAAACCTAACAGGGATACTTCACGCATTGCGCAATGCGTGAAGTATCCCTGTTAGGTTTGTAGGCGCCAATGCGCGTTTCGCGCTCTCTGCCCGCCCGCCGCGCCGCAGCGTGCCACGGCGTCTAAAGCAACTATTTCACACCAGACTAGGTATTGCTCAGTATCATAAGAAATTGAAGACGCTCCAACATATTAAGAATGACAGGCATCCTTCAAAAGTACGGAGCTTTCCTCGCAAAATAAATCAAGATACTACGGCACATAAAGAGAGCGGTTGTCCAAAAACTAACTAAGTCCTAGTATCCGTATTTAGTAACGTTTAGCATAAACTTCATCGTCTGGCTGTTGCTTAATCGCCATCGGCTATAAAAGGCTATAAGAAATTGTACAGCCGGCTACAGAAGCTATTGGAAATCTTACAGCCGGCTCTAGTATTTTGGAACACACATTCTACTGCCAATCTTTACCAGGACACGGAAAAAGAATGGATTGCTGATTCATCAACTGTTATAAAAAAGTGACAAGCATGTTTCAAATGTCTATTTTACAATAGTGGGAAGCTAATTGAACCAAGGACACACTTAAATTTGCATTATTTTATTGTAAAATTTACATTGAAACATGTCTGTCACTTTTTGAACTGCAAAATTGTGGAATCAGCAATTTCTTTTTTTCCGTGTATTGGTCCATTGTTTCAGCTATGACTGGAAAAAACAGTCGCTTGGATCTAGAGTCCAGACTCTTAAAAACATTGACAAGAAAAAATACTCTTGATTCAATCAGACTTTTTGCTCGAATCAAAAGGGAATCCGCCTAAATCAAGAAGCTTGGCTCTTTAATTCAAGAAAAAGCCGATTGAATCAAGATTATTTTTTCTTGTCAATGTTTTTAAGAGTCTGGACTCTAGATCCAAGCGACTTTTTTTCCAGTGTAATTATTTTTTGAACTTGGCAAGTGAGTGGACCAGGTCCGCTGGTGTCGTCTGGTGGGTTAGTGTACAGACTGCGGGTACTTATTAGTGGCGGAGATTCCGGACGGGGAGCAGCGGAACCCCGGTTCCCGGTTCCATTCATAAAACATCCGCGTCGGGGAAGCAACTTTTAACTTTGGCGCACAACACCGCCGCCGCAGCCACCCGCTGCACCGTGGCTGTGCGGGAGAACTTCTCGCGCCAACTTCTCACTTCGGCACCCAAGCTCGTTGCCGAACCCCGCCGAATCCCGGGAAGAATTTTTAAAAGGGTCAAGTCAAGCCTTTTGGGGCTGTACTCATAGTCGTCCCCTGAACGGTTTCCTTTCTTGAGAAGCCCCTTTTGGTTTACACGTGTGGTCGAGGTTATGGCGTGGCATGCTTTGCGATAAGTCGATTGATCTGATATTTAAACCTATGGGCATCTATGGCGAAGGATCGATAAACGGGATGTTCGCAACGAACACCCTAAGAATCGA